GGAAAATCTTTGGTCCTTGGCCCTTATTGAAAGCCGTGAAAAAACATACTTTTACTTCTGAAAGTTGACCTGAAAATTTCAACAAAAATCTTGTTCCACTGCTCACCTGCACTGCCTTCCATCTAACCCCTAGCCTTCAATTCTAAAAGTTTCCCGAAAGACATATCTCACCAAAATGGAACCCAGTAGATGTCCAGCCAAAAAGAGCAGGGGAACAGAAAAAGTGAAGGGTGAAAGTTGAAGAGGTCGTGCCCCTTCTAAAACCAAAGGCGAAAGTCAAACCTGTATAATATAAGGGCCTTGTATATAGCGGTTACCATGTGTATTACGGTCACTGGACAACTCAAAATTTTCAGTTGCCTTATACTTTCTGCAGAGTTGACCTGTATATAGTGGTCACCCTGTATATAATGCTCACCTTGCCATTTCCTAAGGGTGACCATTGTTGTACACAGGTTTGGCTGTATCTTAAATTTTTGCTTTCTGTACATGGCCATTCTCTGGAAGCTGATATTTAGCATCAGGAAGGGAAGGCTGGAAGTGCTTTACAGTGTACTTATTAGTATAGACAGCATTTTTGGCAATATGGGTTCTTTTTGGCCAGGTGGTGACCAGGAAATTGCTTGTCTAGGTTCAAGAGGTGTTTTTCAGGAAAATTTCCGGCAGCAAATGGGTAAATCCTCTTTAAGATGGTCATCTTGCTAAGATGGCCCTTTGGGACCGGTTCCAATGTTGTCCATCTTGAAGTTGACTGTATCCCACAAGTTTTTTTGTTGTGTATTAGTAAATATATTTTTCTTGTTGATAAACTGTAGATTAAATGTTCATCTGGAGTGTCAGAGAGTCACCAACATGAGTAAAGAGGACATTGACTGGGCTTTTGATCTCACAAAGCACAACATGCAGTTGCTGTAAGACATGATATCAACACGTGTATAACTTATTGGTCAAAATTAAATTCAGGTAAAATTTTTTATCCCAGTATGATTCTCAAGTTTCCTTGTCTCCTAGCACTAATTCATGAATATTTAGGACTAGCAGGAGAGAGGAAATTGAGAATCAACCTAGGTTAGAAAATTTTAACCTGAATTTATCTTTGACCCGTAACATGTCTAACATCATATCCTATATTTTATTTTTCTATGGGATGGCTTATTAAAGATTTATTTGCTTATGTTGTTTGTGATTTTAAGAGATTTTTTTTTCATTTCTTAGTTATGAAAATAGCAGCTGGGGTTGGAGTGACAAAAAGAAGAGAGATGAAATGACTGAAGATAAAGCCTGGTAATGGCTCATATCTGTTATAGTGTATTTAGCAAAGCCCTAAGAAGAAGAAGTGCCTTTATTTGCCATACATTCAGTCATACACATAACCTATTACAAGGCAGAAGATCGAGCAAGCTCTGTTTAGCTTTTAGACAATCTCGGCTTTATTCCAAATAGATGTAAAGAATATCAGAAGGCGGACTTCCTTAGCCCTAAGTACCATCTGATTAGTTGTTAGCTGAACAATGTGTTTGCTTTAGAAACAAATGAAGAATTTGAAATAGGTCAAGAGTCCTTTACATGAACATGTACAGCTATATTTCATGCAACTCTTAAGCCATTCTGGGGTGAATTCCCGAGTTCTCCTGATTTCAGAAATCACTTGTACAATATAAACAGCCCACTCTGGTTTCCTCTTTGATTAGAAAACTAACATTTCCAAATTCCAGTTTCGTCTAACACACCCAAACACCTGTGAAACAAGTTGGTAAGAGCTCTTGGTTGTTTTGTGGGTAAACAGAGTCAAGTTTTTTTTCACATCTAGGAAAAAGATTTATGTAGTTGCCTATTAGCTGAAGTGTTTTATACCATATATTCTCGATTAAACGCCGGCCTCGAAAAAATGCCGGGTCAAACCTTCCTATTTTTAAATCAGTGCCGGAGGTGTTTAATCGGGTCCTTGGCATTTGATCGAGGCCGCAGCATTTAAATGCGGTCAAGGTGACAAGGACCGGTTACAAATATAGTCTCTTGAGCAGCACTGTTGCGACATACGGGTACAAAATACAGTATGTTGTTTTGGTATTTTAATAAATGTTCAAGGGAAGAATTACGCCATAACATAACTAGGATGGATGCTGCTCAACAAGATGTACGGTACAGTAATACTGTAACTTTGGGTAATGTTTGTACGGTAATAAACCTCGGTGATCTAGTAACCTGCGTGGAACCCAAAATCCTCTTTCCCTTCCCTTTCGAACTCCTGCCACGCTTGCTAGAAATCTAGAGGCCAGACGAAGGGGAAAACGGTCCCACCCTGACAAACTGCCCCTGGGTCTCCGAGGATCCGTAAAAATAAATCAACCTGAAAAAATGACAGAAAATTTCATATCATTGATAAACGCCGGCCTCGATAAAACGACGGGTCAAATTCAATACTGCCAATTTTTAAATAAAGGTCGGGGGCGTTTAATCGAGAAATTGCGGTACCCAGAAAAACCTTTCAGGGCAAGGACACGAACCAACAAAAAACCCAACCCACATTTGAGATCATTTCGAGGATTCAAACCTAGGCCACAATGGTGGGAGCCACTGCACCGCCCTTGCTACCAAAATGAAAGCTGGATGCTCTTTTCAGCTTTTTCAGATCTTTTTTAGTAGTAACAAAGGTTTACATTTTTTCTCTCATGTTTTATCAGGTATCTACTGGCAAAATGTGAATCAGGAAAAGCCATAGGATTTTCGCATTTTAGATTTGATTTGGATGAAGGAGATGAAGTTCTTTATTGGTAGGTCATTATATTTTCCAAGCACATTAATACTGAAAACTTAATTCACGTTTGTGAGCCTTTTCCATGTAATTGTAAAATTGCAGGTGAGTTGTGAGTGACTTAGATGTATGCAGCACAACAGGACTTTCTAATGTCACTTATTAAAGTTCTATTTTTTTCTTAGTTATGAAATTCAACTGGAATCTAATGTGCGAGGCAAAGGTCTAGGCAAGTTCCTCATGCAAATATTGGAGATGATGGCACATAGGTTGGTTACCGGCTGAATTTTATTATCATGTACCTCGGTAAAGGCGTAAAATTTTGAAGAAACTGCTTCTTCTCTTTCAGAGCACAAATGAAGAAGGTGATGCTGACTGTCTTTAAAGGTGTGTTATTCACTTGCCCTATGTAGTTTTAGATTGGTTTATTTTTTTTTATGTGCAATCGTTCCCAATAACTGCCTTCATTGTTACTAGTCCTGTTAATGACGGTCAAGCCAGTTTGATACATGCATATATTAAATATTCTTTAAACAGTTTTAGTTTATAGTTTTCTTGTGTGTTGTCCATTATTCCAAGTTATTTCCTACACCTAAATCCTGTTGTGTAGGACTGAAGAATAGCTAGATCCTTGAGGTACATCAGTTACGCTAAAAAAGAGCCGTTTCTGCAGTGCTTTTCTGCAAAAAAATAAACCTATTGTTTCCCTAGTCTAAAGCTTGAAACAGACCTGCTTTTCACAAATAATTATTCTCGACCTTCTCAGTGCACTTTACTCATTGTTTTTATCAATGGTTTATTTCGTTAGAAAATGAGAGAGCTATCAATTTCTTCGGTAAAATAATGAAGTAAGTGGATAACATAATGGCAACGCAGTGGACCCGTTATAGGGAGCTTAAGCAGCGACGTTTTTGAGCGACGCACGTCAACCGGAAGTGAGGTATTTTCCCTCTTAACATGCCTTGATGATATAAAATTTGTATTCCTTAGCTTCTTTACTGTTATAGAGGCGATTTGACTGAAAATTTGCGCGAAACCACCGTCAAAAAATGAAAAAAGGCCACTTCCGGTTGACGTGCGTCGCTCAAAAACGTTGTTGCTTAAGCTCCCAATTTACAATGCATCACCAACATATTTTAAGTGCTAAGTGTGCTACCTGAAAGGAAACCCCATATGCCCCCAAAACACTGCAGAGCTCATTAATTTTTATTGTTTTTGAACATTTTAATGCTAAATATTATTTCTGTTCTTGTAAATTTGTGGGTCTGGGAGGGGTCATAGAGCTTAACTAAAAAAAGTTTAACTATATTTGCAGGATTTCTTAATTTATCTACTGGGTGGGATAGGAGTTGATCAAAGGGTGTGGCCATTTTGGGTATCAGTCTAGAAGTCTGTCTAAAATGATGGTAAATGTGATGATCGCATATTATCAGGGACGTGCTCTAGGAGAGCCTGATGGCCCCTGGCGCCTAACTTTTGCCCTCGGGCGACTAGAAAATCTAAGTTTTTTTTTTCATACAAATCCTATGCTGAGCACCCTAGATTTTACGGGTTCTGAGCACTCGGCTCCCTTCAATTTTCCTTAGAGCACAGCTTTGGCACATTGTGGATTGGCCGCCAAGGTCTAGAAACCTACAGCAGTTGGATATGGGAAGACGACTTTGATCGCATAAAACCAGAAGACATTTGACGACGGTTTGATAACCACGTAACACCTAAAGTAAATCACAGGCTATCCAGATATCAGCTTCATCAGATTTGGCAAAAGAGCGAAGAAACTATTGATGATTTTATGATGTGCTGGCGGAATCAGGCTGCAAAGTGCAATAAGACAAAAGAAAGTTCTAAAAAGCCTTTTAAAAAAAGGTGAAATAATATTGCTTGAAAAACCAATTGACATTGCTCGAACACACGAGGCTATACGCTGTTACAATTTGAGCAGTTAGCAGGGGATTGAGACAAGGATGTTCATGGCATCAAAAAGAGCGCCAGCAATAGTAACAAGTAAATGCAGTGCCCTAACTCTGGTCTAGAACATTCTTGAATAACCAGAGAAAGTTGTCCCGCACGTGGATCTGAGTGCCTAAATTGCCGGACACCCACCCATTGAGCAAGAGTATGTCGCAAACCATAGAGGTTCGAGGAGTAGGAAATTCCAGAGCAAGGCATCGATCAACAAGCAGAGACCATCAAGGTTGAGGAAGGTCCTAAGATGCTGGACACAGGGACAAGAGGGCAGTCGATTTAATTGAGCAATTTGAGTCAATTGCTTTCAAATCAATTGAAGCTGATGCTTTTGATCCTCCAAAACGAAATAATAAGAAAGGTAAAGTGTTTGTTAACGTAAATATGAATCTCCACACCAAAAGTACTCAAGGTTGGACACAAAAGCGCAAGGAAACCCTTTTCTTTCAGATTGTATCCATATGTTTCCTCAGAATCTACCGGCGGATGCTCTTCCTAAGCATGGAGCGCTAGCGTACTCCCCTACAGTACTGTCAGCTTTTTGTGGTGCCAAGCTTAGACCATATGGAACGTCCTGGAATCGCATGTGAATTCTAAGGCCGAAAAACTGTTGCCACCTTTTTTGTTACTGAAGCGAAAGGTCCAAAACCTGAAGGAGCCACACCCGAGACAGGCACACCCTCACAATAGGGTATATCCAGAAACCCACTCCTTAAAGTCAAGGATGATTTGGCGGACAGATACCCTGATTGTTTCAGTGTAATCGGAAAGTTCCAGAGCCAATACCATATTACAGTGATAATTCAGTCCCCCAGTGGTCAATAAAGGAACTTCCTCTGTTGGTTCAACCCTGCTGAACCTGCTTGGGAGAGATATCTGCCGAAGACAATCCAGGGAGAAATTTTATCAAAACTGCCAGTCACCATGGTACTGAGAAGACCAAATTGAGGGCACAAATCAGTATTCGGGAGAAATCTCAACAAGTACATTGAAGAACTGACCCAGACATGCAAAGTCTGTCAAGAACTCCAACCTAGGCATTTGTGGGAACCGCAAGTTCAGACCGAGGTACAACAAAGGACTTAGCACACAGTGGGAACTGATGTGCTCTACGTGGGCGACGATGAGTACCTGAATAAGTTCTCTTTTCTTAAAAAGATACCCAGACTCCAGAGCACAAAGTAAGGTTGGAGATGATTTAACAAAGCAAATCTTCACTGGGCAAGGCATTTCACGAACTGTCAGGTCAGATGATGGCCCGCACTTCCATGGCTACTATCGTCAATTTGCAAAGGAATACAGGCTCAGCCACATTACAAGTTCTCTCAATTGCCCGAAGAAGCACTATTACGATCTACACACCAAGGCGTCACCAAAGCCTCGAACCAGGTCAGAAGATAGCAGTTGAGAACCTGACGACCCGGGAATGGAAGCCAGTGGTGATACAAGGCAAGATCCAGGGAATTCCGAGATCTTGTTTAGTCTCCATACCAAGCGACAGATAGTTGCGGCACAATCAGTGGCAGACCTATAGAGGTCCAGACCACAGAGACAGGTGGGTTAGGTTTCACTTGGGGAGCAGACAGGCAGGCAACGGAGCTGAGAGCAAACCAGAGTGTCAGTCCAGGCACAGGCAGCCCAGCCTGTCAACCTATCATCTCAGGACAAGGTTCCCGATGTCATTATGTGACGCACTGCGGACAAATTGTCAAAGCCTCACTAGTTCAACCTCTAAGGCTGTACTTCGCTTTCTGTAAAACATCTAAATTTCTCTCTTCAATCTGTTTGTAATTAAAGGAGAGATTTTTCTGTTGTTCTTGTTTTTTTTTGGTAAATGGGGTATGTGATGATCGCATCCTATTGCCATTATAATAGGTTATTCACATGCTAGGGAGGCGATTAATATCTCCATATCGGTAGTTTATAATAGGATTATCGTGTGCTAAGGAGTCAATATATATTTGCATCGTTAACACTGTGTGCGCTTCCGTAGAAACTTAAATATACTGTTTCATATATTACGCCTCCTTGTACGTTCGTCGGTCAACAGTAAACATATAAAGTTTACTCCAAAAATGTACACCAAAACAGATAAAGGCCCTAATTAATGGTTCTTGCCCTAGGCAATTTTTTGTGCATGTCGTATTGCTTTGATACTGCAAGAAAAGTTGCAAGAAACCGCCTTGTCTAAGAGTGTCATTAAAAAACCTCAAAAGCTTTCACACTTTAATGATTATTATTACGTTGTCTTTGAATGGGAGATCTTCCTCCAAGATTTATTTTTCTTTGTCTTTCTTAGGTTTCAAACAGATGAGACTTCTCCAGCTATCTGGGATCCCATGAATCCTGAAGATTACTGTTATGATATTCTCAGTAAAACACTCATAAGAAAGACCTCTGCAACCACTACAACAGAGAGAACAAGCATCTGATAAGCGCAACATACTGCCTTCGATCTCAGAAAGGAATTGAAAATAAAATATATTATCCAAAACTCCTTCCATAATAAGGAGTGGACATCATTAGCTAACATCCCAGGACATGAAAGGAAGTGAAACATTCCCAAAATGGACATCCTTAGAACAATTTACTAGTGAGAGCACTTTCAAAGTAGGGGCAATGAACTTAATTAACTCCCAGTGACTGGTTCCCATGAAAACAGTTACTTTTGTTTTCCGAAATTGAGATTCGAGAGTAAAGAGATCTAGCGTTTCAAAGGGACCAGCCATGAAGTAATTTGTTTTGTAGTTTACGAACAACGTCTTTGCAAACAAATTTAGGGAAGTATATCTTAGAAGGCGGTCAACACGCGCGGGTAGCATTGTAATGTTAATCTCTACGTCATTGACATTGCAATGTTGGCCACTCACAGACTTTTTTGGCGGGAAACAGTTTTACTGTAAGATGTCACGTGACCTTGAAGTAACAAATAAAAACGCGTACTGTTTCGTAAAAATTTCCTGCTTGTATATTATGCCTTTATTAATGTATTTATAGATAAAGAGGAAGACTCGCTTTTTCCACATAATTTGCCTGTTTGCTTTTTTAACCATTTGTTTCCTTCCGCCGTTGTCTCTGAATTTTAAAACCTGAGTTTAGACTTAGTAGGGCATTGGCGAAGTCCTATAATAGGTTGTGAGGTAAATAGCACATGTAAATTACAAGATGCTAATACAACCAATGCATAGAAATAGTGGACGTTTTCATTGACAGAGCTCAGTTTAGCCTGTGAATACAGCTGTCTCTCTTTAACGCTAGGGACGTTTCGTGAGAGTCTGCACCTCAGCGACAGAAATTCCATAGTGCTGACGTAAAATCTGTCGAAAATCTAGTTAGGAGCGCTGATTGGTCGATGTAGTAATTATATTGGTTTCGTTAAGCTAAAAGCATAGTAAGCACCGGTTACCATTCTCGATGTAGATGACCCCTTCAATACAGCAATGACTGAAAAGCTGGCGAAATTCTTGGCAAACGCCGAGCGGTCAAAAAACCGTGGTTCACAGCTGACATATTGAATCTTTGTGACGAACAAAGGACACTGAAGAAGAGAAGACATAGAGTAATAAACCAGGAAATCAAGAAGATCACGAAAAAGCGAAAAAAAGAATCTTGGATTGACCTACATTGTCAAGGTGTTGTAGATAACATCACGATAACATCAACGAGAAAGCACATCAGCTATTAAAAGTTTTAACGAGAAGAAAACAAGGACAAGCCAACACCATACGGGACAGAAACGGAAATTGTCTTACTGAGGCCCAGGACATTCTAACGAGGTGGACAGAATACTGCGCAGAACTGTACAGCCACATAGTCAAAGGTGATCAGAGTCAGAGAGAACCTCTACAACAAGGCCACAGGTGCAGTCCACCTCAATAGGAGACGGGTTCAGAAAAGGCCGTCTGCCCCCACCGACTCTCTTTAATATCTTCTTGGAGAGAATTATGACTGACGAACTGGAAGATCATAAAGGAACAAAACTCGAAAGGAAGGTGAAATAGGAGGAAAGCGGGGTGGTTCTCAAACTCGGTGAAAGGACTGTCATAACGCCGCTAGATTCAACTGACTCAATAATACTTGAGCGTCAGACAACATTGGTATTAAAATAACTCTACTGCCGTCATACGACAGCATGGCAGACCATGTAAGGTTCTCTTAGAGGAAATTAAAGTATCAATGTGAGGGTGAAACAGCTTCAGCTGAACATAAGATCAAACAGAGCAAACTAGCTGGTGCTCTACAGCAGTACACCAGGGAAATGAAGTGGTGGTAGGCGAAGACTGAGGAATTAAAGCAGACATATGTTAAAAACGACATGAAAGGCTTTTACAATGGTCTGCGAGAAGTATATGGACCACAGAAGAGGGGTACGACACAGATCAGTTTAGGTTTGTGAGAAACTGCCCACCTACCCCTCCCCTAAGCCAACATTTTACGCTAAGTGAGAAGTAAGTGTTGATGTTAGCTTAGGGTAGGGGTAGGTGGGCAGTTTCCCAGAAACCTGCTTAGTGCCTTTGATGGTGAGACAGTCCTGCAGGAGAAAGATGAGTTTTCACTGTAGATTTGCAAACCACTTTGACCAACTTCAAAATATAACAAGAGTAGCTGATCGCTCTGCCTTGGACACCGTTGCGCAGAGGCCAAACATTGCATGTCTTGATGAAAAACATGAATTCAAGGAACTGTTGAATGCAATCAATGCAACAAAGAAAGGTAAAGCGCCTGCTTGAAGGTGTGGTATATCTGCGGAAATCCGAAAACATGGCAGTGTAGAAGTCGCCCCTAGCCCGTAGAAACTGGCCCTGCAGATCTGGGAAACCGAAAAAATACCATAAGACTGGAAAGATTCTAGTATCGTTCCAGTCTTCAAGATAGGAAGTAGAAAGGAATGTGGAAACAATCGAGGTATCTCTCTTCTCTCAACAGAGGAGAATGAGGCGTTCCTCTCTGACACCATGCACTTGGACTCCCACCTCCTTGGATAAAACCAAGACTTCTGCCGTTATAGTAATCGCTCGAACGCGAGGATCTTAATCACGGAAAAATGGTGGATTTTATTTTATAAGGAACTTCAAACATTGGTGGACCAATGCAACAGACATGATCGATACGACGATGATAGCAGGGAAGAAGTGATGGAAAAGCAAGGAAAAGAAATGAGAAATGAAGGTCGTGCAATATCAGCCAGATGAGAAACATCTGACAGCTAGGGCATTAGTCTCCAAAAATATCACTCTCGATGTCCATGGCGCAGTGGCAAGAGGACTTGCCTTTCAATATGGCCTGAGTTCACGTACTGGCGTGGACGCCCTATTAGGGTTTAGTTTGCTTTTGATTCTCTTCTATGCTTTGAGAAGTTTTTCCCTCATGTACTCCGGTTTTTTCCCTCTCCTCAAGAACCAAGCCTGAGAAAACAGGAGCCTCCACTGGTTTACCCGAAAATTGACTTCTGAGGAACGAGCGGGAATATTCCATACTGATTATACAGTGCTTCTGATTGGTTGAAAATTTGCTTCATCCAATCAGACGCACTACCCAGATAGTACACTGTAAATCAAAAGGTCTGTTTTAGCCCTAAAAATGGGGCCCTTCCGGTGAGTAAAATACAGTCCGACCCAAGGGCTGAAATGGGCCCCAGCGTGGGCTGGAGAACCCTTTTGATTGAGCTGTTTTGGCCGAAATTGTGCTCAAATGGCTCCAGAAGGGGCTGAATCGGACATTGACCTGTAGGGCTGAATTGGCACTGTAGATCTGAGACAGATCTTTGTAATTTTCAGTGTACCCAGATAGTGACACATCATTATCGTGGAATTTCTCCGCTCGTTCATCAGAAGTCATTTCGCGGGGAAACCAGTTGTGGCGTCGCGAAATGTCGGCTGTTTCCTCAGGGGCACCCAACGAGAATATAGTTCAAAACCACTTAAACATGGTATTGTTAAACGTATTTTAGTAGTTAAACGGTAGACATAGGCATATTTTTATCCCCTAAAAATTTTTCATCTGTTCGGATTTCCTAGCTGAAAGTTTAGTGATCCGAGAATTATAGGGATCAAAACTGACCTTTTCGAAAATTTCAGCCAGAAAAAAGGCTCCCGAAAATTCTGGGCGACCTTTTAAGGGTAAAAATCCGTTAAAAATTCAGTCTCAATAACTTTAATAGTAACATCCTCGTGAGGTTTTTCAGTAACTATTTACAAACTATTTACAATTTATAACAGCAAAAATGACAATAAAAACTCGAAATCACAATGAAAAAATGGACAATTATACCATTTTTTAGATGTTCGAAAATCCTAGGAGAGGCAGGCAAGCAAGAAATTTTACAACAAATGTTCCGAAAATTCTTGATCTCAAATCGTCTTCCGAACAGATATTTTCCGAAAATTGACGTTGGGTGCCCCTGTTTCTTAGGCTACTCAATAACCCAACATTCTAAATTCCCGGTTCAATCTGGAAAGTGTCTCCAATCAGTATGAATCACTTAGAGGGCCATAGATTTTAATTATCAGTTCTTGGAACTGTCTAGTTTTGGTGTTCATGGATAGAACTCCACATGAGTCTCACCAAGTGCCTTATTGATACATAAGGCGTTCAGACCTCCTTTAGCTGTTAGCAAGCTCGTGACTCCAGTGAAAACCTACTCATGAGTCTCGTCAGGATTTAGCCTACGTGTAGCCGCCCCCCGACAGTCCAGCCAGGCTTAAGCTGAAGATGAAGACGATATACTAAATAAAACACTAAGATGGAAACAGAACTGACCAAAGGAAGAAATGCAATGGTTGAAGTGAAAAGTTATCCAAAGACATTGCGATGGCAGGGGGAGAAACAAGTTTGATGTTACCCAAAGCAAAGAGGTAAATGCCTGTGCAAAGCATATAAAAGATACTGCTGAAAAGATACCCGCGTATTCACTAAAGCCTCAGAGTAAGTTTCGGCAGGATGACAAGGCATGGCAGAAGATCCTGGCAAGAAAGGAGTAATTAAACTCATTATAGAAAGAACAAGGTCTGAGAGAGTAAAGAAAGATTACAGAAAACATATACAGGGGAAAATAAAGTCGAGCGAGATACAGCGCATGAGACAGAAAATGGATGCAAAAACCTGGCTTGAAGAAGAATGAAAAAGCAAGACTGCAAAAAAGAACGGATGGGCAACAAAATCCCTTCAAAATAACTTAAGGCGATAACAAGTAAAGGAAATCGAAAGTTACGACAAGAAATCGGAGGAAAGAAAAGAACAACAGCAACAACAACTACTGAGATACTCCGGGCAATCCCTATAAGACTGTAGGCCTGAAATTGGAATCCTGAAGCATCAGGCCGCAGACAGTCGAAAATTTTTACCAGTTAAGCCAATATCATAAAGACATATTTTTGGTTATATGTATATATATTTTTAGGTGCAGACAAAAAACTTAACAACTCTGCCTCATTTGCCTTGTCTCAGTCTACAGTCCTGAAACTTTAAGCCTTTCCCTTCAGTAGTGTTTAAAGTTTCTGGGATAAACGTGGTATGCATATGATGGGGATTGTCTATCGTTTGTCTAACAATAGTGGTGTCCATCAGGCGATAGTCACCGGATATTGTTGATTTGCGATGTAGTGGGGTCGAGTTTATGTTTTTATTTCAGATTGTAACCTTTTTTTCTAGAATCTGTTTAATAAAGCGCCAGTGATCTAAGACTCTATCTTGAGACAGATCCCATACTCGAACCTTAATATCGTAGGGTTAAGAACCGTGGGATAACCGAGTTGTATTAACGTCTATTTCATAAACACTTTGACACGTTAAGACCCGTGGGACAACTAGGTTGTTATTACGCTATATTTAAACGGATCAAAACTATCTAAATAGATACTTGAAGAATCATGACCAAAACAATAACTTTGTATGCAAGATAGGAATGTTTTTAGATAGCACTTGTAAAGAGGCTTTTCTAGAACTCGGGGGATTAACATTGATACAAGAAACAAATTGGCTACGAGAGTGTTATTGCTGAGACTCACAGACTTCAACTGATTTTCGTAGGTGACACGTCGTGCCTTCAAACATGAAGAATACAGCAACTGGTGCACTTGGGAGAAAAAGGGGAAGATCTTTCAATGGAAAACTGGCGAAAGTTTTTAAACGAGAAGGAATTTGAGTAAAATTAATTTTCAAAGCTCGATAAGAACACTTTTCCTTCTTTGACCTTTTTGTGCTAATAGTTTTTTAGTGTCAAGAAAACGGATAATTTGCTTATCTGTTATAATACCAAATACAGACAAGTGACGTGTTCTTCCCTTTAATCGTTGTTTATTTTAGAGATCAAAGATTTTCTTTCTCACAGTGGACTCGTGCGGCTCGCGTTTTCCCACAGGAAACATTAAAGATTATTTCTTGATCTGATATAATAGCAATTGTTGGCCACTGAGGTCGTTTGTCTTGTATTTACTGTTTATGCAAGGGCTTAACGATTTTGAGCTTTTGTCAAAAGTCTCGTGCGCTGTGTTTTCCCACAGAAACTACTCTGTTTGTAAACAAGGAATCATTTCAACGCCAAGCGTGCCATAAATGTCTACGACGACAGGTTATTTCGACAATGACAGTTACCCACAGTGGAGTATCACGTGTATTCTTCACGTACTTAACTTTGCCATGACCCAGACTGGCCATGGCCATAACCTAATCCTGATTATGTCATAGAATTTTTTTACAGTTTCTCTTTTGTCTCTGTCTCCGCCTGTCTTTTTTAAATAAAGCTTTCATTTTAATAAAGAGGTTTTAAGAGCCAAAAATGAAATAAGTAAAAAAAAAGGGTAAAACCTTAAGGCAGCTTTGTACGCAATGGAGAGGATCGCGTTAACGAGCAAAAACCCTGCCGCGAGCTTCTGTTGCTGTGCATGTTGCAGATCTGCGTGATTTTCGTCATTTTCCGGGAAAATTCTCTTAAAACACATTCACGCTATTATGTTTAAGCTGAGCCTTTGCCTTAAACCTTGATCGGTAGTCAGAGTGAAGTTAACTGATGCAGGCAATTTCAAGGTAATTCAAGGACTTCAAGTGTTCGTGCAGTAATGTTAGTGAACTCACATAATTCTCTGGGGTAATTAAACACATGGAGTGTATTGATAACGCGTTTTTGATACTGAAAATAAAAACTTACACTATTGTTACGAAAGTGCGACTGCGGGAAATTTTTTCGCTGAGCCCCTACGCGAAATTTCCGCTGGTTAATCTTGAGATGCTATTTTAAACACTTTACGGGAGATAGTTGGCTATGATATTAAACTACAAATAAATGGAGGTCTTGGATAATGAGGCAGTCCTGAATTGTACATTATGGATGTTTTGAACAAGTTATGGTTGAGTTGGTTATAATTAGTTTTAATGGCACTTCGTTCATCTTTTTATTCCACAACTTGAACTTATAAAAGCTTGAGAGAGAATTATGTCTTTTGTGAAATGATATATTATAAATGTATACTCTCTTATGTTTTGCTGTTCTGTAAAGGTGGTGTTACATGGCCTGGGACGATTTGCAACGACGATTTTTAACGGAACACAGCGTCGCAGTATTGAAACAATGTTACAACTGTTCGAAACAATGTCGCAACGCTGTGTTCCGCTAAAAATCGTCGTTGAGAATCGTCTCGTGTAACATTACCTTAACATCGCTACAATCTTTGACAACAACAACAAATTAAAACTAATTTTATAAGGTTGTCTTGGGAGTAACAACTCTGTGCCTTCTCAAGCTCAAAATTTGGGCTTTGATTAGGGCACGAAAATCAGGGACCTGGTTAAAGGAGAAACAAACAAAACAAAAAATTCAAGAAATTTAAATCTCCATATGACCCCAAACTCGAAAATGGAACCCGGAAGCGAGAAGTCATAGGGGGTGAGACGAAGCTTTTTATCAAGCCATTTTTAGAAAAGCTTAATTTTAGCCATTTTTTTTTAGCCGCAAACCAAAAACGTCAACAATTTTGCCGAGGCATCGATCTCATTTGCCTCTACTGGCAGCAGTCCTGAAAGCCACTGCTTATATGTATTTCCCGATCGCGTTCAACCGTTGTCAGTTATATTAAAGGTCGACACAGTTATCACCAGCCGCCGTGCCTGCCTTTCCAACCGCAAATGGCAATTGCAAGATATTAAATGAAAGACATTTTAATAGAGGTATCAGATATGTATTATAGGGATCGTCTGTCGTTTGCTCAACGATAGTCTGTTACATTGATCGTGCAGGTTTCGGCGGCATACTGTTGGTCTTCATCAAAGCGATAGTGTTGATTTGC